CAAAAGTAGAACAATTTTAAATGACAAAAAAATAAGTAGTATTGCCGACAGATGGCCACAGGTAGGGTTGCGAGGGCCACGCAAAACTACATAAAGACACTGCAGTAGTGAGAACTTGAAATCACTTGTTGTTGTAACGATGGCATTATTCTTTTTATTAAAAAAAGTTTTTTTCAAGTTTTTTTTTTTTTTGAGAGGGAGAGAGCGAGAGAGACAGAGTGCAAGTGGGGGAGGTGCAGAGAGCGAGGGAGACACAGAATCCGAAGCCAGCTCCAGGCTCTGAGCTGTCAGCACAGAGCCTGATGTGGGGCTCGAACTCAGAATGGCGAGATCATGACCTGGGCTGAAGCCGGATGTTTAACCGACTGAGCCACCCAGGAGCCCCAACGATGGCATTATTCTTAAGAACATGATAGAGGAAGGTCAGTCCAATGTTCCATGTTATAAGACAGCAGATTTCCAACATCACAGATAAAGTTAGCCTTCAAACAGACTGTCCTCCTAACTTGCTTGGTCGGCCTTCATTGCTGATAAAGGGGTACAGGTGTAGGCAAGAAAAATTGTAACATAAATTCCCAGTCAGGAGTTTTAAGTTCAACACCCAGTTCTGACACTGGGAAAATTACCTTATCTTTCTGGGCACCAGTTTTCTGATCTGTACGATGAAGAGCTTGGGGGAGCTGAGCTGCCATCATTCTGGCATATGGATGCCGATGCCAAAAAAAGGGATGGGATGGGAAAGTACAAGCAAGAGCAATCTTTGGGAATTAGTAAAGCTCATTGTAATAGAATATCTGAAAAATGTCTGAGGAAATATAGAGAAAAATAACATTTCGAGGAGGAAGAAACCCTAACCCATAGGATCTGTTTCTCAGTGAGTCTTATTTAAATATGAATTTCTTGTCATGGAATGACAGTGTCTTGAATCAAGGCATGGATTCTAGCAAAACTTTTTCTCAAATGGGCACTAGACTAGGAGACATAGCCCAACTTACACTCTGTCAAGGAAAGGTAATGACAAGAATTTTTTGCCCCAGAAGCTAATACATTATACTAATCAGAATATATATTATCTGCAGATTAGTAGAATTTAAAATAATGGTAATCTTTTTTTTTTTTTTTTTTTTTTTTTTTTTTTGCTTTTGCAAATTTTTACATTTCAGATGAAGTCCCATGTGTTTTTAGATTTTAATGTGGCAGCCCTTTAGATTTGTGTTACAGGGGTAAAATAAATATTCGTGTTTGAGGTATTTCCTTCAAAGAGAAGCCTACTGGTTGGCTCCTGGGCCTCCCTCTGCTGTAAAGAGTAAACTGGGGCATCCCAAGAAACTAGAGACGTTAAGTGACTATGTAATAAAGAATCGAGCTAGCCGAAGGATACCCACAGGGACTTTGTCATGGCAGAGAAGTAAAAGTTGGGACAGACGTGACATAGAGGAAATATGAAGAGAAAGTATTAAGATGGGAAAAAAAATTGAGCAATTTCTCCTTTGGCATTTTCTCCAGACATGTATTGATTTGATTGTCTTTGAATGCTTTTAGGATTGATGGACTTGTTTTCCTCTGAATGCAAATTTGTGCTGATGCTGGACCAAGGATGTGCTTTATGTGGGTTAACATTGACATAAGGTCTTAAAAGTCCGTACATCTGTACCTTTAGCCAATCTGCATAATAATAACCTTGCAAGGGAGACAGAACAAAAATATTTTTATTTTCCAAAATTGTAAATTGAGACCTCATGGAAGTTAAAGTGATTTTTCCCAAGATAACACAGTGGAGACTCAAAGCTGTGTCAGCTGGCATTCTTTTCTTCATACCATGCTGCCTTTCTGAGATCAAAAACACTTAGATATCCCCAAGAACTTCCAAATCTTCTCTTTTTCTTCCTTCTCCTTTTTGTCCAAGGAGAGGGAATTAAAAGGAAAGACCTCTACAGCACTGAGTGGTAGAGTTTTTTTGTAATGATGGGAATGCTATGTGTTGCCCAATATAGAAGCCAAGAAGCCACATGTGGTTATCGAGCATTTGAAATGTGACTAGTGAATGGAGAACTGAACTTTTTTAAAGTTTAATGTTAATTAAATTTAAGTATCCACATTTTGCTTGTGGAGATGATACTGGACAGCACAAGTCTAGAAGCTACCTGTGAGAGAGAGGCAAATGCCCTAGGTATCTCAAACTAAAATAATAATTGGGGGTAAACTGTACTTTATCATTGAACTTTAGTTTTCTGTTTGTTAGTATATCTTAAAAGTCCAAATGCTTCACAAACAAACCAACATTGTGGTCAGTGCCATCTGGTTGCCTTAAGATATTTTTCCTTGACTTTTCATACCTTTAACTAATCACCAAATATTATTTCCTCTGTAGCACCATCTACCTGATTTCTTCAGAAGTTTGTATGTATCTTTTGCTATTCTTACCTTTTAAAATTGTTATTCTCTCGCTGCTATGTTCATAGTATTTAAGCAATTTACAGATGCATCCTTTCTAATACATAATGTATGTAAAGTCCAAAGCATCAATGTCCATTCTGAATTTCCAGAAACATCATGTACGTTTGCTCTTCCTTTGCAGTAAATGGGCACCAGGATCAAACCAGAAATACAAAACAGAATAAAAATTTCAGGAAAAAAAAAAGGGATTAGCAAGCCTTTTCCCTTTACCACTAAAAGATTCATATACAGCAGAAACTTCTTACCACCTTCAACTTCTAGTTTTGGTAGGAAGTTTTCTCAACACTTCCAAAGTTTCCCCTGTTATTTGGTGCTTTAGTTCACTGAACAATACAGAGTTTTATGTTTTTGTTTCATTTTGGTTTTGGTTTGTTTGTTTGTTTGTTTGTTTGTTTTTTACAGAATTGTCAATTCTTTTAATAGAAAATGGAAGATAAGCTCTGAAGGGAATAAAGAGAACACTGCTACTTCAAAGAACTGTGCAAGGAGTTGGATATGTACACAAGGTTTATAGAACTGTCAATCAACTGCTGTTGGAAGCCACACCTATCACAGAAGCTAGTGGAAGAAGCGTCATCTTATCCTAAAAGGAATCGTCTACCTGTTCCTTATGTCTTTGTAGAATACCAGTTGCACCAGCCACGTTGGCATGTCATTTGGTTATTGCTAGCCGACCAAACCTACTCCACAGAAATAAGTTGGGATATTTCATAGAGACTGAATGCAGCTACAGCAGAGATTGTCATCACATCCTTCAATCATCTTGCTTGCTAGGTTTTTTTTTTTTTTTTTTTTTT